GGGGGTGGGCAGGGGAGTCTGGAATCCTGTGTTTCTTGTTTCTCCCAAGCTATGGTGCCGGTCTAGGGAGAACAGCTTGGAGGAGGGGACAGGTCTAGGGAGAACAGCTGGGGGGAGGGGACAGGTCCTTCCACGTGGGTTGGTCTGATGTTTCCTCACGATCACATCCAGGTTAGACCAGTGTGATGCTGGCCCTTCTCGGGCACGGAGACTTTCTCCACTGAAAACCTGCAATGTTCTCCTTTGTTATGAACAAGCGACGTGTGGGGAGATCTCAGAAAAATCTTCTTAAAGCAAACTTCTCTGAAAACTCAACCCTAAACCTGTGTCTATCTCTAATTCCCGGCCTGTAGCATAAAAGTCAGCAAATATCTAACAGAAAAATCCAATTCCAGTGTGTTTATAGAGTTTAAAGGAATGAAGGCTTAAATGGAGTTGCTCAGCCCAGAGAAAATCTTGGGGCTGTGAACTCCTAGGAACCTGTGTCAGGATGGTCGGGAATGATTGCTCAGAGATGCCAGGTGTGGATGGTGAGTCAGAAATAATAAGCAGGAGAGAGGAGTGTGTTCATCAGACTCACCTAGCAGTCTCGCTCCCGCCCCCAGGTAGGTGAGACAGAGGCAAATTAGCAGACATGACAGGCGGCAGAGCTTTGCCTTAATGCAAAACCGCCATCAGGAACGCTTGAGCCCATCAGCAAAAATGCTGGATCATGCAATTTTGCTTCTTTTCACTTTGGGGGGCACTTTTCCTCTTTCCAAATTTCACCTTTTGCCACAAATCAGGCAAGACGGGCAGCCATCAGTGAGGAGGGCATTTTGTTGGTCGGCTGCTTGATTGGTTTGCCAGGAACAGAATCCCACTCATGCTAACACCAAAGAAATAGGGCTTCATGCCAAGACCACAGGAGGAGCTTGGGGAATCCAGGGCCATTCTGTAGCCAACTCCAAGGGCGCATGCCCCAGATTTTGTGACTGGTGCCCCCAGAATGGGGGGGACTGGCCTGAATTCTACAAAGACAGGCCCGGGGAACGTTCCAGAATAAAGGAGTTGGGCCATTAAGCCACCCTGATGCTGTCTACATGGAGGAAGCAGAGTTGTCATGGAAACTGGCAAGTCATGAGAACCAGCTCATCCTCTCTCCCTTCGGATCCTCTCTGCACTTGGGTTCTTATTCTAGACTCTTCCTTTCTCCTCCCCGGAAGTTCAGCTTGCCTCAAGCTTCAGTTGGCATGATGAGATCCCATCTCAGGGACCTGATCCCATTATACTGGCTCCTTCCTGAGTCCTGATTGCAAAATCCGGGGAGACAGAAATCGATTGGACTTTTTGGCCCCATGTCTGGTCCAATTAGTCAAGCCAGGGGCTTCGTGGAGAGTAGGACCACCCCTCCCCCTGGCAGGGCTGTGGTCAGTTAAGGAAGCTGACTATAGGGGAGATGATTTTGTTGCCTCCAATTCCATGAAAATATGTCATGTTTACACACGGAGCCACTACGTCATGGCTGTTGGAGCAGATCTGAGTTCCAGGCCAGTGGTTTTCACCTGGGGAGATTCTGACCCCCAGGGATGTCTGGAGATATTGTGATTGTCATAACTCAGGAAGGGGGTGCTAATGACATCTAATGAGTGGAGACCAGAGATGCCTCTTACCACCCTGCAGTGCACAGGACACCCTGCCCCACCCCACACACAGAGAATGATGGAGCCCCAAATGTCAGTAGTGCTGAGTGTGAGAAAGTCTGCCTGATCCTGACAAACTCTGTCTGTGCCCCCTCCTCTGATTGGATACCCACCTTGTCATTCATCAGAAAATTCTAAGTAAGCAAGTATTCCGTATATGTAAAAAAATGTGGTCAGTGTCTTCATCAAAATGAGGACTTTGCTCAACATCAGAGAATTCAAAAAAACCACACGAGGAGTTTCTACCCTGTGAAGCTCAAACAGAAGCCAGCCCACCTCTCTCCTCTGCTCTGAAATGAACTCTGATGTTCTCCAGTGCAGGCAAATCTGCAGTTTTTACAGTGTCATACTCACAAGTGTTAAAAAGTCCATTCCAGTCCAGCACCAAAATTTCAGTGACTCATCCTTTTTAAAGCCACTCCCTTTCTCTCTACCTCAGCCCTTTCTCAGGCCAGGAAACATGGGGTGGGCTGGGTGGGCACAGCTGGTTTCTGCATTATTTTCCTAAGCTACCTCTTCTCTCCCTCTCTATGCCGCCTGAGTTGTCTGAGGTTGGGGAAGGAGTTGTCCGTGGTTCTGTAGCTGCATGTGTGCAGAAGGAAGGGTCTTCCATGATGGGTATAGCTAGAACTGGGCGTTGGTTCTTGCTGGGCATGGGCACTGTCCAGATCCTCAGGGTAAACCCTTTGGTGACATGCAGGACACTGTGCAGCTGACTGCATCTCTCCCTCCCTCTGTGTCTGCATCTTTCAAATGCAGGAGACCCAGGTGTGTTCCCCTTTCTTCCTCCCCACAGGTATGGGCTCTCAGAGGCTGAGCTGAAGGACGTCCTGTCCTTGGATGACGATGTCCTGCAGGCTGTGTACCAGGACTGGACCCCGCCCAGCAAGGAACTGCTGCGTTTTCCGCCCCTGCTGTGGGTGAGGCTTCGTCGAGATCTGGGAAACTGCTTGGCCAGGCGGCCCGTGGATGGCTTCACACTCCTGGCCATCACCCACAGGTAGGTTCAGTGTGGAGGTGACGCTGTCTGGGTGTCTTAGAGCAGGAACTTCCCAATCAGGCTCCTCCTTGTTCCAGATCCTTCTTCTCTCCTCATTCCCAAGGAATCAAATCTGCTTAGCACAGCACTCAAGAGTCTCCATGCACTGATTCTAACACGACTAACTTTTTTTTTCAAATGGAGGAGAAATTCACATAACATAAAGTTCATTTTAAAGAGTACCATTCAGTAGCATTTAGTACACTCACAATGTGCAACCATCACCTCTAAGTAGTTCAGAACATTTTCATCCCCCCAAAGGAGACCCCGTCCCATGAGCAGTCACTCTCCCTCCCCCTTCCCCAGCCCCTGATACCCACTAATCTGCTTTCTGTGACTATGGATCTGCCTGTTCTGGACATTTCATATGAATGGAGTCATATAATGTGTGGCCTTTTGTGTTTGGCTTCTCTCAGCATCATGTTTTCAAGGTTCATCCACATCGTAGCATGTGTCAAAACTTCATTCCTTTTAATGACTAAGTAATATTCCACAGTATGGATGTATCACTATTTATTTATCCATTCATCTGCTGATGGACATTTGGACTCTTCCCACCTTTTGGCGAGTGTGAATAGTGCTGCTATGAACATGCGTGTACAAGTTTTTGTTTTTCAGTTCTTTTTGGTGTATACCCAGGAGTGAATATACACTGTATATAATTCTAGGAGGGGAATTGCTAGATCGACAGCAGCTTCCTTTGTGTTTAAAATGAGCCCAAAGTTTCCTTTTTAAGGTGGATTTATTTAAGAATCGGAAGAAAGATAGGCTGATTTAGAGATAAATGTTAGGTAACAAATAGGAAAGATGGTGTTTCCGTAGTGTAGTGGTTATCACATTCGCCTGACGAATAGGACAGGTGGTTAGCACTTAGCATCAGAAGATGGTTTAAGATGGACCCGCATTTGTGAACTGCCTCCTGGAAGGCCGGTGGCCACCTCTGAGCTCATCTGGTTCTCAAGGCCCATGAGCTCATATCCCCTCTCCACAGACAGCTGGCCGAGGTGGTCCGAGAGCGCTACTTGTCGGGGCCTGAGAAAGCCAAGAGGCATGGAGCCTTGGCTGACTTCTTCTTGGGGGCCTGGAGCCAGGGCACCAAGAAACTCATCACTCTGCCGCTGGTGGGGAAACCCCTGAACCTGGACCGCAAGGTGAGTGGTCCACACCCCTGTTCCCCACCTGCACCCTCCACTCTGTTGTGCAGGCAAGACCGAGGCTGCCTGGCAGGACCACCCAGCTCCTCCCTTCCCACATTTTCACCTAAAACACCCTCCGGATCTCCTCCCCTTCCCTTCCCGGGGTGGGTGATGAGATGTCCTCTCAGCCCAGAGCATCGTTTAGAGGGGGGAGCACAGGAAGACTCACTCCCACACTCCCATCCCCCCAGACCCTGTTCGCACATTTCCTTCCAATCTTTCTTCTTTTATGCTCAGGAGCTCTAAGACTTGATGTCTTTTGCTGGCATGCTGCTCCCCATTTTTTGCCTCTCAAACACATCAAGGCCCAGTTCAAATGCCTCTTCCTTCAGGAAGCCTTCCAGGATTTCCTCCCTCCTCCTGGTTACTTGTTCTTTACTCCGTGCTCCCTTCATTTGGAGGCAGAACTTACAAGTTTTTAAAAACTCTCAGTTTCAGAATCATTTTAGATTCATAAAGAGTTGCAAATGAGGTACAGAGTTCCAATGGACACTTCCATCAGTTTCACCTGATGTTAACATCTTCCATAACTGTAGCACAATGACTGCAACTAGGAAATACACTCGTAAGATTTCTGTTGTCGTTCAAATTTTCTTTTTTCTGATGGACGAGGGAGGCCAGAGGCAGGGCCAGGCCTGATTGTTTCTTGGTGCTGTCCTTCCTCTTCTCCGGTGACTCGCAGATCCTGTCCCTTATGCTCAGAACCCCTACAGGATCAGTCTCATCCTTTTCCTTCCAAGACGTGGTCTGTTCTCCTTCCTGGCCTCCTAGCCTCAGGACCTCCTGCTTCAGTCCATTCTCCCAAGGAATACTTCTGACAATACAATCTGATCGAGTCTTTCCTCTAACACCTCCAATGGCTCCCCAGTGCCCTCAGCCTCCTGTCCAACCTCCCCAGCCTGATATTCATGATCTGCTGCCTACAAACTCCCTAGTCTCATTCCCCACCATGATTGCCCACTTTGCCTTATAATCAAGCCCTTCCAAAACTCATCCTGTTCTCTCCTACCTCTGGGCCTTTGCACATGCTGTTCCCTTGCCCAAGAATCCCATTGTTTTCTGACACTTTTCACCAGACAGACTCCTACTTATCCTCCAAGGTCCCTTAGATTTCCTGAGTCCAACATCCGCCTCCCCCTCAGTCCCCGCCCAACTAGTGGCAGGTATGGGGTGTCTCTGTTTGGAATTGTGTCTCCGTCCCTTCCAGCAATGCATGGTGCCTGGCCTGGCTTGTGTTGGTGGAGTGAATAAATGAGCTCATTTCATAGAGGCCTGGTTGCCAGCCCCTCCTACTCTGCAGGTGGCCCCCCAGCCCCTGTGGTTCTCGGACACAGTTGCAAACCTGAGGAAGCTGAAAGAGTTACCCCATCACCTGCTCCACTCAGGCCGCATCGAGGAGCTGAAGCAGGAGGTGCTGGGTAAGGTACCACCCCCCATCTTGGAGGAGAGCGAGTCCTGCTCCCTTCTTTCCAAGCCTGGGAAGAGAGAAGAGTGAAAGTCAAAATCCTCAGCTCTTCTTAGCATACTGGATCTTACCTGGGGTAATTCTGTAGATCTTGGAGGAGAGCGAGTCCTACTCCCTCTTTCCAAGCCTGGGAAGAGCGAAGGGTGAAAGTCAAAATCCTCAGCTCTGCTTAGCATACTGGATCTTACCTGGGGTAATTCTGTATACCCCACTCTACCCTGGAGACACTTGTCTGAGACATCTGGAATATTTTGGTTGTCATGACTCGGGGAAGAGGTGCTAGTGGCATCAAGTGCAGAGGGTGAGATAGTCAGCCTTAGAATGAGAGAGACCCTGTTGGTCTATCAATATGTCATCTGTCATCTCTATCTCTATTTATCTACCATGTATGTCTGTCTATCAATCGTATTCACCTAATATGTCTGTCTTTCTTTCTGTCTATCTAGCATTTCTTTCTTTCTCTACCCTCTATATCTATCATCTTTATGTCCATCCACCCATCGTTTATCCATGCATCCATGCATCCATGCATCCATCCATCCATCTATCCATCTTTCTACTTGTCTATTATCTATCCATATATCTATCTGTCACTTCTATCTCTACCTACCATCTATGTCTGTCTGTCTGTCTGTCTGTCTGTCTATCTATCTATCTATCTATCTATCTATCTATCTATCTATCATTTCTCTCTCTATCATCTATATCTATCATCTTTATGTCTATCCATCCATCTTTATCTATCTATTCATCCACCTTGCTATCTGTCTATTCATCTATTTGTCTATCTTATCTATCTGTCTGTCCATCTGTCTATTATTTATCCTTGTGATTCTCAACCAGGGGTAATCCTGTCCCCCAGGGGACACTTGGCAATGTGTATGTTTTTGATTACCATGACTTGTGTGGGGGCGGGGAGGGGGCGCGATGCTACTGGCACCTGGTGGGTGGAAACCAGGGATCCTGCTCAACACCCTGCAGTGCACAGGACGGCCCACCGCAGAAAATGATCTGGTCCCAATGCAGCAGTGCTGAGAGTGAGAACTCCTGGGACAGTTGGAGAGATGAGAGCCCACCTCCCAGGATGAACTGGAGGGAGGCATGTGCTCCCCACAGACCCTCTCCTCCCCGCAGGCAGCATGAACTGGATTTCCTGTCGGAGCATCTCCGGGGGCATCGAGAGCCTGTTGGATGACTTCGACCTGTGTGCCCCTCATGTGGACTGTCCTGAGGTGGGCCTGGTTCGAGAAGCCCTCCAGCTGTGCCGCCTGGCCGTGGAGCTCCAAGGCATGGGTGAGTCAGGCTGGCCTGGCCAGAGGTCCTCTCTGCACCGACCATGAGAAGCCCATGCTCCTCACCAAGCTGCCAGCTGGATTTTCATTAACCCACACACCTTTTCTGTCTACACCTGTAGGGTTTCTCCCAGTCCAGCCTCTAGAATTTTGAATTGAATCTGTGAGAGCTTTGGAGTAAAAACTACTAAATCAGTTCCTGTCCCCTTGCCCCATCCCAGCACCTGTTTCTAGAAAGAACCCGAAAGGAGACATTTCAGGCAAAATCATGGAAATGATGTCAATACTTAATATAGCAAGAGAGAAAACATATTTCCACAGATTTTTTTAATTGATGAAATTCAAAATGTAATGATAATAATTGACCATGACTTTTTGGTAACTCAGATCTACTAATGAGAAAGACAAAGGGGAATTTTTGTTCTGGGGACTAACATTTTGCTTAATTGGGGGCTTAAAGTCAGTGTTTCTTGTTATCTTATCAATTGCAAATGTTGATCTGTAAAAGCCGTTCTTCGCTCTCTGGTCAAGTCATTGGGCTTCCCTAGAACTTGAAGAATCTCTGAGTCTTCAGTTGGTAGACTCTGCCAAGGTAGTATTTCGTTTGTTTGTTTCTGTTTTTTAAAGTTGTGGTAAAATACATGTAACATAAAAATTGCCATCTTAACCATTTTTAAGGGCACAGTTCAATGGCATTAAGCACTTTCACACTGTTGTGCAACGATCCCCAACATCCATCTCCAGAGCTTCCTCATCTTCCCCAACTGGAACTCTGTCCCCATTGAACAATAACTCCCCATCCCCCTCCCCCAGACACTGGCACCCACCCTTCTACTTTCCGTCTCCATGAATCTGACTCCACCAGGGATGTCATGTAAGTGGGATCATACAGTATTTGTCCTTTTGTGACTAGCTCATTTCACACAGCATCATGTCCTCAAGGTTTATCCATGTTGTAGTATGTGTCAGAATTTCCTTCCTTTTTAAGGCTGAATAATATTCCACTGTATGGACAGACCACATTTGCTTATTTGTTCACCCATCAATAGACACAAGTTAGGTTGTTTCCACCTTTTGGTTGTTGTGAATAATGCAGCTGTGAACATGGATGTGCAAATATCTTTTCAAGACTCTGCTTTCAATTCTTTTGGGTGTATATCTGGAAGTAGGGTTTCTGAGTCATAAAGTAATTCTATGTTTAACTTTTGGAGGAACTTCCATACTGTTTTCCATAGTAGCTGCACCATTCTGAATTCCCACCAACTGTACCCAAGCATTCCAATTTCTCCACATCCTCACCAACATTTATTTTCTAATTTAAACAGAAAGCATTCTAATGAGTGTAACATGGCCAAGATGGCTTTTATCATACAATTTCTACCTAGTTTTAATCTGAGGGTTGTATGGAGATTTTATGAAGATGCTGAATTCCTATGTCCCTACCATGGCTCCCTTAAAAATCAGCCAAATGCTGCCCCTCCAAGAAGCCTGCCCAATCACTGCTGAAACTGGACACTCCAAGCCCTCCAACCCCTGCATTTTCCATTACTGCACCCTCTTTCCATCTTTCTTAACTCTTAGTTATTATTTTGGCTAGTTTTCTTTTGCGCCATGTGTCTGCCCCACCAGAATGAGCTCCGTGAGTGTAGGGGCATCACCCACTTGCTCTCTGCCAAATTTGCACCCCTACACATAGACCAGTTCTGGCCAAAAGCATGGATTTTGAGCCCCGTTGTGTTGATTCAAATCTGGGCTCTGCTACTTAGTGTGACCTTGCAAGTTCCTTACCCTCCCCACCTCACCTCCGCCTTGCAGTCTTCAGTTTCCTCATTTACAAAATGAGATGCTTATAGACCCTCCTACCTGGGGCCGCCTAGAACTGTATGTAAGTCAGTTCATGCAGAGCCTGTACCCATGGTACCATCGAGGGTCCTGTTACTGTCACATGACATCATCAACTTGTTGATGTGAATGGCCTTGGACAAGCCTCAGCTTCTGTCATCTGCAAATTGTGAAATTGAACTAAAGCGTGGCCAGGGTCCCACTGAAGAGGAAGGTGCTGATGTCCACCATCAGTCATGCCTTTCTCACATATTCATGCTCGTGGGAGTTGCAAACCTCCAAGGGAGTGATTTCTCAGGAAAACGACCTTGGGCACAGTTGCCTGGTTTAAAGGAAGAATTAAAAGCCCAAATCACAGCATGTTCTTTGCAGTATCCTTGATTGACAACCAGTGGCTTCCCCAGCACAGGAGGCATAGAAATGACTATCGCCACCAGAGGGCGCAGTTGGGCTACTGTGCGCTCTCAGGACATTCCAGCACTTCCAGCCCGCTCTTAAAAATGGCCGGATATTCCTGACTTCTCCTATTGCCTCAGGCTCCAGAATGACTCCATGTGGTGCCATTTCGGACTCTGTTTTTATTTAAAAGACTGATATTTTGTTCATCGTGGGTTTTAGGTATATTAATTTTTATTTTAAAAATATTGCATTAAAATAGTATTTATCTTGATGGTTGAGATTTTAGGCACCACCACCTTAAATTTTGCACCAGTGGCCAGTGAGGCACTTGCCCCGGGTCCTAGTTTTGACCCATTTCACCCACCAGCAAGCAGGCACAGGGCATTGCTGTCATTGCCCTAGGTCCCACAGTCAGGATGCGCCAACAGGGACAAAATGAACTATCCGCCTTCAATGTCCCTGATCTTTACTCGACTTTGGAATCAAACTTTTTGGGTCAGATTCCTGCCTCTTACTGTGTGACTTTGTGCAAGTTGCTTAACCTCTCTGTGCCTCAATTTTCCCCTTTATAAACTTGAGATAATGATGATATCTCTGTGAGGTAAGCAGAAAAAGCTGCCTCCTCTCCAAAAAATATATTCACTTCCTAATCCCTGGAATCTGTGACTATCACTTTATACGGCAAAAGGTGTAATTAAGCTAACAATCTTAAAATGGAGAGTTCATGCCAGATTATGTAGGTGGACTCTCAAGTAATCACAAGTATCCTAATGAGAGAGAAACAGAGAGAGATTTGAAACTGAAAAGGAGAAAACGCAGAGACACACAGATGAGAAGGCTGTGTGAAGTGGAGGCAGAAATTGGGATGATGCAGCCACAAGCAAAGGACACCTGGAGCCCTCAGAAGCTGGAAGAAATAAGGAAGGATCCTCCCCTAGAGTCTTCAGAGGGAGCGCAGCCCTACTGCTACCTGGATTTCAGACTTCCTACCTCCAAAACTGGGATAGGATAAAGTTCTGCTGTTTTAAGCCACCAAGTTTATAGCCATTTGTTATAGTAACCACAGGAAACTAATACACTCTGTAACTGTGAAGCGCTGGGAAAATGATCAGTATTTCTCTAGCAGATACTTGTTGGGTATTTTTGAGGGTCTAGGCACTAAGAACACAGCAGTGAATAAGACATCATCCCTCTTCTCAGGAAATTCCAGGTCTAGGATAGTGAGGGTGGCCAGGCCATCTAATAAACAAATGAAGAAATGTAAGATTGCAACTGCAATAAGACCTGAACTTAGGGGCTGTGAGGATTGGAGGGCTGCACTGGAGAATGCTTTTTGCCTAAGTGACCTTCCAGCTAAGAGGAGGATGAGGAGATGATTGGCATGCGAAAGTGAAGGGGGAGGGGGAGGAAGCTTTCCAGGCAGAGGGAACAGCACGGGCAAAGGCACAGAGGCTGGAGACCACCTCGTGCACTTGAAGTAGAGGCAAGTGTGTCTGCAGAACAGAAAAGGAGATAGAAGAGTATGACAGGGGGGCTTGACCAAGAAAGCAGTGCCGCTCCCCTTAACTCGAGGCCCCTTTGTTGCAGAGAAGAGCATCCTGTATACAGAACTCCTGGCCAGACTCCATTTCTTCGCCACTTCACATCCAGCACTTGTGGGACAGCTGTGCCAACAGGCCCAGAGCTGGTTTCTGGTGTGCCCGCATCCTGTGCTGGTGCCCCTTGGAGGATTCCTCCAGCCCCCAGGAGGGCCTCTCCAGGCGACCCTCACTGGCTGTCACAAAGGTGGGTCTCCCCAGCGTAGCAAAAATCCTGTTAGGCCCCCCTCTTTCCTGGGGGCAGCAGATGACAGATGTTTTGGGCTACTCTCTGGGGCTCCCCTCTGCCGGTCGGGAGGCCATGGGTGTCACGAGGGCTGCCCTACTGTCTCACGCTGACTCAGCTCTCCCTGATCCTCAGGGTTATCAGTGTAAATACTGCTAATGAGTCTGGGGCAAGGGGATATCAATTGCCTTTGGGGTCTTGTCTCTAAGAGTTCAGCACCCATCTTACAGAGAGTTTCTGCAATTTACTGGTTGATGCTAGTAAGTCTGGAAGCTAAGGACTGGTACCTGATTGGCCCCCGAGAGGCTGATGAAATGTGTAAAATCTCCCCGGGACACCAGAATGTCAGAGGAACAAGAGGATTTAGTTCTCTTTATTCATTTGTCACCCACCTTTTTATCTATTTATCCTTCTTTCCTTCCATCCATTTGTCTATCTACCTGTCCATCCATCCATCCCTTGCTTTCTTCCACCCATACATTCATCTGTCTGTTCTATCTATCCATCCTTCTATCAGTCATTCATGCATCCATCTATCCATGTATCCAGCTAGCCATCCATCCATCCATCCATCCATCCATCTATCCATCCATCCATCTTTCCATCCATCCATCCATCCGTCCATCCATTTAGCCATCCATCCATCCACCCACCATCCCTTTCTACCTTCTTTCTTTCCTTCCATTCATCCATCCATCAGAGTCTACTGTGGACCAGGCCCTGTGCTAGAGGTAAATCCACTCACTTACCCCTCCACTCATCCTTACACACTCAGCCATTCATCAACTCGCCCACCCATCTGTCAATTGATTAATCCATCTACCCGTCTAATACTTATTCATTCACTCACGCTCTCATCTAACCAGCCATCTATCTGTCCACTTAACCACCAATGCACCTCCATTCATCCATCCATTTCTGCCCACCCACAATCTCTCTCATGAATTGGGAGGCCACTGACTACAATTAGCTTGTGATTTCAATGTCAGTTATTGTGACTCAGGACATTTTTGTGCCACATTGCCTTATAGGGAAAGCTATACTCCCAAGGCACAGTGCTTCCAAAATAGAAATGCTAAGAGACACTAAATACAATGCACGGAGGAATTGATTTAGGGACAGCCACTAGAATGCTGTGTTGAGAAGGATTCTGTGACTGAATCTGGTTTC